TTAATGAATTGTTGTCTTGATGTTTTTCCTTGATCTTTGCAACGTTATCATGTCAATTACTACTTATTATTTTTTATTTCTTGTATGTTAAAAATCATGTTATAGGAAAGGTTTACATGGAGTGAGCATACAGGGAGCTATCTACCTAGCTGATTTTTAAATGGATCTTTGATCCAGTTTCTTAAAAATTATCACAATTAAAAATTAACTTTTTATACGGATTCTTGCTTTGTGGAGTTGTCTTTTGGTGCTTTTAAAACCCCACTTTCTGTTCTTGTTACTACAAACCTCAGGGGTGTGGCACCTACTAGGGATGCACCGATACCACTTTTCTAAGGCCGAGTACGAGTGCCGATACTTTTTTTCAAGTACTCGCCGATACCAATTACCGATACTTTTTCTTAAAGGGACAGGTCAAATTTTTTCTAAAACAATACAAAATCATGATTTTAGGTCAAATGACTAGGTCCCGAGATCCGGTCCCTAGGTTGCCGGTCCCGAGATCTGCTGTGCCCAATGCGGCCGGGACCGGCACGGCTCTGTGAAAGGAGTTCAAAGGGAGATTAGTACACGATCTCCCTTTGATCTACTCTCCAGTCCCGGAATGCAGGAAGTGATGTATATTACATCACTTCCTGCATTCAGTGTCACTTTCCAGCTACAGAAGCTGATGAAGCCGAAAAAAAATTAAAGAATCATAAAAAAAATAAAAATAAAAAGTAAGTCCCACATACACATGCAGATATGCGTTGGGTGCGCCTATGTGCGAAAACAATGATTGCGCCTATTGTGCTGCACGTTACATATAACCGTAAACATTGGAATGTGAGCAGTAATTTTAGGGCTATTATCTTCTGATAACACTAAACTGATGAGCGGTAAAATCGTTTTAAGCGTCGCCTATGGCCAGTTTTCAGTGTGGTCGTTTTTTGCGATTTAGCGGGCGCGCGCACGCAATTTTAAAGCTTGACATGTTTGGTGTCCATTTACTTGACGTAACAGAAACAGGAACCATACCGCACTCCGTACCGGGATTCCGACTTGATGAAGATGGGTGCACGAAATTACTGCGGATGGCACCGCCACACATGAACAATAGAAAAATGTCACCAGCACACCATAAGTTTAAAAAGCAAAATATTTTATTGCCAATAGCTGCATCTCATTGGCAAGCGCTTTCGGGGCCTCGCAGGGTCCCCTTCTCTAAGCCTGATAAAGGGACCCTACGAGGCCCCAAAAGCGCTTGCCAATGAGATACAGCTATTGGCAATAAAATATTTTGCTTTTTCAACTTATGGTGTGCTGGTGACATTTTTCTATTGTTCATTTACTTGACATGACCCCGTATTTTATATTTTACCAAAAATATGGGGAAGAATAGATGTTTCATAACATAACGTAGGGAAAAAAACATTTTATTCGAAATTTACGGTACTTTTTTCATTATATAGTAAAAAATAACCCTCCCAGTGGTGATAATATACCAAAAGAAAAGCTCTATCTGTCCCAAAAAAAGGTTAACATAAATTGCAAGGCTATAGTCCGGTCATGCTGACTGGTGAGATTTTTGACTGACTGGTGAGACACCCTAACATTTTTCAAGCCCTGTATACTCAATCAGGTGTAGCTAATCACCTTCTCAATGGCACACAATCAGCTGTGGTCATTTTGATTAGCTCAGCATAAAAAGAGCTTTCCTGGAGCATTTCAGTCCCTGGTAGTGCAACTGAAGCAATGAACTATGGGTGGCAAGGCACTATGAAAAGATCCCCGGGATAAAGTTGTGGACAGGCACAAGTCAGGAGATGGATACAAACAAAATTTCAAAGGCTTTATCAATGCCTAGAAGTACAGTGAAGTCTATTATTAAGAAGTGGAAGGTATTTGGTGCCACACAGACCCTCCCTAGATCAGGACGTCGCTCCAAACTGGATGAAATAGCCAGGAGGAAACTGGTCAGAGAGGCTACCAAGAGGCCTACAGCAACTCTGAAGCAGTTGCAGGAATTTACGACAAAGAGTGGTCATTGTGTGCATGTGCCAACAATATTACATTCTCCACAAATGTGGCTTGTATGGGAGGGTTGCAAGAAAAATAAACCACTCCTCAAGAAAGGCCACATGCAGTCACGACTGAGCTTTGCCAAACTGCACCTTAAAAAGATTCTGAGGCCACGTGGAAAAAGGCGTTATGGTCACATGAGAATGAAATTGAATTGTTTGGCCTCAACACCAAACGATATGTCTGGCGGAAATCCGATACAGCTTACCATCCAAATAACACCATTCCTACAGTAAAGCATGGAGGTGGTAATATCCTGTTATGGGTGTGTTTCTCTGCAGCAGGGACTGGAGCACTTGTCAGGTTAGAAGGAAAAATGGATAGGGCAAAATACCGTCAAATTCTTGAGTAAAATCTGCTGCCCTCTGACAGAAAGTTGTCAATGGGAAGAAGGTTGACCTTCCAACATGACAATGACTCAAGCACACAGCAAAGATGACCACACAGTGGTTGAAGGAGAAAAAAGGTGAATATCCTTCCATGGCCTAAGTCCAGACTTAAAATCCATTGAAAATCTGTGGAATTACTTGAGGACTGCAGTCCACAAACGGTCGCCATCAAATTTAACTGAACTTGAGCAGTTCTTCAAAGTAGAGTGGGCAAATATTGCAAAGTCTAGATGTGCAAAGTTAGTAGAGACATATCCCAACAGACTAAAGGATGTAAATAAAGCAAAAGGTGGTTTAACAAAATATTGACACAAGGGGGTGATCCTTTTTCCAACTCAGTTTTCTATTTAATTTTTTTCTGACATGTTGGTATCATAGCCTTCACTTGGATGTTATAAGTTGCACTGAGTAAATACAGCTGGATAAAACAAAAACTGTGTCTGTCTTTCAGGCTGCAAAGCAACAAAATGTGATTATTTTAAAGAGGGGTTATTCTTTTTTATACCCACTGAAGCCCAATCATCAGTTTAGAGTTAGCCATGAATATTGGCCCGTAAACTATTGTGCTCACGGCGATACCCGACATGTGTAGTGCAGTCGTCGTTTTCATAAATAGGTGCACCAGACATGTGTTTCCATTAGTATGCGCGCATTCGCAGGGGTGAGGGACTTTACTTTTTTTTTGCATTTTTAATTTTATTTAAACTTTCACAAGCCCCCTATGTGATAGCACATTGGAGGGGACAGGTTCTCTTTAAAGTGACATTAGGATCTATTGACCCCTTGTGACAGCTTTCCACGTCAAAGAAGCTATTCAAACACACATGGCCTTGACTATCTTCAGCCAGAGAATGACAGTTGCTGGCGGCGAAGTTCTCCTTCAGATTCGCTCCTCCGCCGATTGACAGCAGGCGGATGCAATAGCCAGGCGGATGCAATAGCCAGACTGCTTTTGGCTACTGCAATTTGAAATAGCCAATAGCAAGCTGACTATTACGGGGTGGGGAGTGACAAAAGCAATGGCTGACAGCCAGTCTCTCCTCCCCGCTGGGTGCCAGCTGCAACAGTCTGTCCCATCTGTTCCCCACTACCTCTGCTGATACAGGTGGGGGGAGACCAGCAGGGATTGGAGGGGACACAAACCGCAGCATGCAAAAGGGAGGGGGGGGGGAGCTCTCCTCAATGTTGGGTACTGGCTGCACAGGATTGTGTCCCCTCCCCTTTGATGAGAGGGAACATAGAGCCGATGAAACATGGACTCCCAGCGAGGAGGAAAGAACTAGGGGACCCGCAACAACTAATTGATAATGAGATTAGTTGACAATTCTAATTTTTCCACTATCGATAAATTGATTAGTTGGTTGCAGCCCTAGTCTTCCGTCAGAACTTCTCTCCCCATTGGGGACCTGTTTATATGTTTGAAGTTGTGGTGTGGAGCATTATTCATGCATTATCATTGAACTCTATGTAATGCACGTTTTGATGAACTAAAAGATGCAGCACCCATGTGAATGGGCCCTATAAGTCATTGATAGTGCAAAATCAGGTTTAAACTGAGAGTCACCGCTCCTCTCTGCAGGGAGATCAACCGGAAGTGAGCAAGCGGCGGTATGTTTTCGCTCACTTCCCGATCAATAGTGTTGGGGCAGTGGGATTAATTTGTTTACTTGGCAAGTAAATGTTCACTTTGCAAAGTGTATATTAGTAAAACAAAAATTAACCTTTGTTAGCATTGAACATTCAGTCATGTACAAGGAAATATTCTGCTTTTGGGTATCCAAGGTGAATGAACATAGTACACAAAGTCAACATACACTTTTCCAAAGTGAACAGCCTCTCAGTGCCTTTAGAAAACAAAACCCCATTGTGTCTGCAATCTCCTGTTCACCGAACTCCAATTGTGGGGACTTTGAGCATGAACTTCAAATTGTTTAGAAAAAAGGCAGTCATGCTCCTCCTCTTCCCACATTTTTTACGCGTTTCTACAAAATACGTCCTTCCATGCAGTGGGCACACACACACCATTTTGTATTATTGCTGCAAAGTGCCCTCTCAGTTTTTATTTACAATGTTTGCAAACTATCCAACAAAACACTAAATTTTGAAAAACTTACACTTATGCTTTATTATCATACAAAAAATTTGCATTGTCTAATCTAGAATGTTTCTAACCTACCATTTAGCTTATGGGCCAAGGGTATCCTGACAAAAATGTTCCTCTCTTACATGACCTAAGCATTACAAGCAGGTTCTGAAATAGCCCTTACCTAATGTTTATCTATTATAATATAAGGTTACTGAAAATGATCTCAGCCACACATGCAGATACAATAATATGCAAGCTTATTCGCACAAGACCAAGAGCTGCACCCTATAGAAACCAATCACTACTCATCTGTAAATATTAAAATCTGTAAAACCCAAGTCAGTTTTCTGTAGGTTACTGCACATTTCAGACTATTACTGCTACTTATGAGCCGTTTTACTGAATAAGTCTGATAATGAGAAGTCATTGTGTATGCAATCTTAGAGAATAAATATTTTACATACCACACTATCACTAGTATCTGGAATCGGTATAGTTTTCATAATAACATCCATGGTAGTTGTCTAAAAGAAAAAGGAAAAATTAACATATTTTCCTCTTTACATACATCACACTGTTGGGTCTGTTTGTAAAACAGCGATAATGACTCATTACACTTTTATAATGCACATTACTATAAAGGAAGTAAGGAAGACACACCTTGCTGGACCCAAAGCAGAATGGAGGATCATATCAGACTAACCTGATTTAATTTTGTGACTATATCATAAATGTTTTGGATCATGGTGGTGCTGTGGATGTAGCCTTGATTTCAGCAAATTATTTTACACAGTTCAACATAATGGCCTCATAAAAACTAATTAAGACTTCAAAGTAACATTAACCACTTGAAGAGTCCAGGCCATTTTTCAGTATTCATCGCTGCAGTGGTTTGACTGACATATATTCCGTCATGCAACGCTGTACTGAAATTAATTTGTTACCATTATTTGGGCTCCCCTGGAGCTTTCTTTTGGTGGTATTTAATCACCAATGGGGTTTTTATTTTTTACTATACAACAATAAAAATACCGAAAGTTTTGAAACATTTATTACCCTCATTTTTGAGTAAAATATAAAAGATAGGGGCACGTCAGGTAAATATACATCAAACATGTGAAGCCTTAAAAATGTGCGCGCCCGCAGAAATCGCAAAAAACTACCACACCCAAATTTGACCACTCATCAGTTTAGTGCTAACAGCGAATCCTAGAATTATTGCTCACGATCCGACGTTCGTGGTGATATGCAACATGTGCGGCACAATGGGCTCAATCGTCGTTTTCGCTTGTAGCTGCACCTATCGCATGTTTGCGTGTACATGTGGGAGTGGGGGACTTTAAAAACATTTTTTGTGATTTTTATCCTTTCATTTCTTTAAAAACTTTTTTTTACACTTAACTTTATTGCGATAACATAGGCGATAAGAAGTCTGCTATGCGATAGCCAATGTACATGACAGGTCCTCTTTATGGAGACATCAAGGGTCTCCAAGACCCCTAATGTCACCCCCAGAGAAGCTGATGAAGCATCTGCTTCACCAGCATCTGTGGCCAGGAATGACAGCTGAATGCAGAAGTAATATACATCACTTCCTGCATTCTGACGCCGGAGATCAGAGGGAGATCGTGTAATGATCACCCTTTGATCTTCGGTGACAGAGCCACCAAGCCGGTCCCGGCCTGCACAAGGCACAGCAGAACTCGGAACCGGCAGTGGCGCGGGGGGGATTCGCGCACACCCGCAGAAAACACAAGCGATCGGGCGTCTCTACAGTGGCGTGGCACAAACTGCGTGTAACTAATAAAAGTAGATGTGGCTTCAAAGCGCATACCGCTTTGTTTTGTTATGTTTTGCCTGGCTATCTCAGACTTCAATACTTTCCAAGTCACTGACATAGAGCAAGGATGCCAGAGTAAAGTCAGAAATGCTGATCTGCATATTTGTTCTGGGTCTCAAAAACTAAAAAAGCCATTGGATCAGCCTGGCAACTAGCATTTTCAGGATAAGAGGTCAGCAAAGACAGCCACCATAAAAACATTTCTTGTAAGAATTATATAGGCATTTATTCAAAGAAAAACAGTAGGATTTGTTACTTTGTTAGGTGCACATGCTTTATTGAAGGTGAATTCAAAAGTAGAATTGTACACTTTAACACGACTGGACAATAATGTATGCCATAATATATAATAATGCACACGGAGGCACTGAAGCAAAATTGCATCCAGATCGGATTATGCTGGTGTTGGTTTTAGCATTCACATTGTCCCAAGTGGAAACAATACAAACCACGGTCTACTGCTGCTGCATGGCAAAAGTGAAGAATCATGCAAGCATGTGGCTTAATACACTTTTTTAAACCAGGTATCAGAATCCTCTAGACAGGCATAAGGAACACTCACTGACCATACTTCATAGCCTTACCATAGTGTAATTCTTCTGAAAGTGGCTTCCGTCACTCCGGAACAGCTGGATCAGTGTGCTTTTCCCAACTGTTGAGTCACCTGTTTGAGAGAAACATAATTGTCACCTACATCATCTTATAACCCCCATGGTTATATGAACACTCTAGTCCAGCGTTTTTCAACCACTGTGCCGCGGCACACTAGTGTGCCGTGAGATATTTTCTAGTCTACTGTAAAGTAAAAATGACAGTTGTAATATGGCAATAGAGATTGTCCTTAATGCGAGAGAAGAAGTAGGTAAATACCAAGGCCCATTGACACTTTTGCTATAAGAGCTTAACGAATGAGTAGGACACCGGCCACAGCCGCTGCATCTGGCCTTCTTTTACCCTGTAAAAGGTACCAGTCTTATAAGCATCTGTGTAGGCTTTGTGTGCATTTTGCTGGAACTGTGCTACATGGACTTCTCTTCACATTCACAAATGTCTAATCAACAACCTCTGAGTGCTAAAGGCAATACTACCACAGATGCAGAATGCCATGACAGTGAAATATGCTCTCCTAAGATACCTTTTTATTGCTGTGCGTTTCAGCTGAACATTTACTTCTTGTTTAAGTGTGGACAAAGGCAAAAATAAAAAAAAAGCTATATAAGATTTTAGTCCTACCCTAAGGCTTGTCATACACAAAACACATTTTGGGCTGATTCTTGATGAACCCTGTTGCAATTTGCTCCGTGAGTGGCAACGTCTGCAACCTCCTGCCTGACATTCTTTGATCTTAAACTGGAAGAGCTGGGAGGAAAACGGACTTCTGAACAGCGATCATTGCCAATTAGCAGGGGTGAGGATTGGGATTGGGCATTGTCTCCAGCAGAGGTTAAGCAAAGATGGAGGAATCTGTTAGTTTACTGGACAGCTTTACTCTACTAAAACAAAAAGTGTTTTATTGCTCTTATGTCCCTATTGGTGAGGCTCCCCCTCACTTTCAGGGCAGCATACAATGGCCACAGTTTCAAAAGGAATAGCTATGCCCTATTGCAGTAGTTCCCAAGCTGGGGTATGCATACCTCCAGGGGTACAAAAAAAAATAAAAAATCAGCAATGGCGCCACCCAGCATTGGTTGCTAGGATGCAAACAGCTGGGCTGCACAACAGCAAGCCTTTCTATGGTGCGGGTGTCCTTGCAGCATGGTGTAATTTGTTGTTATGGTGCTAGCATATGACCCACCTGCACTGTTGAAATACATGAAGCTGTGCGGCCTGGCTGCTGGATTGCTGGGTGCAGCGACCCAGCATTGGTTGCTAGGATGCAAACAGCAGGGCTAAACAGCAGCAAGTGTTTCTAGGTTGTAGGTGTCCTGGCTCCATAGCATCATTCATGGTTATGGTGCTGGGGAATGACCCACCCACACTGTTGAAATGCATGAAGCTGTGCGGCCTGGCGGCTGGATTGCTGGGTGCAGGAGAGGAAAAGGAGGAGACACACACACTGAAGAGCAGGCCGGAATGCACCAGTACGTTGTACTGGCACCTCCTGTCTCTGGACCGGTACTCAGGGCCTGCCTGATAGTGGCAGAATAAAAATGACCTCACAGCTCCCATGGACTTTGTCCAACTGATGCTCTATTGATTTATAACCTAGCTATTGTTCGCTCTACCCTATATACCCCAGGAAGCCCAGCTTAGTCTTATCCTCCATCAGCCCTAAAGACCTACACAGCTACAGGTACACAGTGACATTTTCTGACTCATGTGATCGTCACATGACTAAAGTGAAACTCCAGAGAAATTCCCTGTGATCTGGGAGCCATAGCCGAGTGTTCCCATGTGGGTCCCCCCTATGCAACCGAGGTATACAAGACATTTTTTTTTATAACTGAATTGGATAAAACAAGTTTATATCTTTTCAGAATTAGCTGGTTGTATTGTGGTGCCACCTTAAGCCTCATCTATGAAAGTGCAGTTTTAAATACACATGGATGCTGCAGACACAGGTATATGAATCAAGTGTGTTAAATGAAGAGTGAGTGAAAAGAGCACACTGGAGAGGGAATGGGGCTTAGCAATACTGCTACATTCCAGTACTAACCAGTTCAGATGTCAGTGTCTTTCAGCCTATTAAATATGATTCTGCTCTGTGCTATGTGAGACACTATTAGCCCTGCTTCCAGCACCACTGTCTATCCCACCCACATTGTAAGTTCTGCTGATTTTCAAAAGTTCCCAGGTATGCTGATTATACACCTGCGGACATGTTTAGGACGGTGTCAGTATGGTACTGGTTCTAAATAACTGGACAAGTTGCTAGCAGTGTCAGTACAATATTGACAGATTTTGGGGGGTACAGTTTATGGAAATCGACTGCCAAGGGCTATTCGTGTGAAAAAAGTAGGGCTGCAACAACGTAAATCGACTTAATCGATAATGAGAATCGTTGTCAACGATTTTCATTATCGAATAATTGATTGTTCGATTAGTTGTTTCATGTGCTCTGTGTCCCCTCTGTTCTCCACTGCTCCCTGTGGTGATGGGAGGGGACACAGACCCCTGCAGCCGGTGTTCAGTGGTGAGGAGAGCTCCAAAACTCACTCTCCCGCCCCCTGCTCTCCTCCCCGCGGAGAGCCCCTGCATGCTGCGGGCTGTGTCTGCTGTCGGCGCCCAGCGGGGAAAAGAGACCAATGTGCCTCTGCAATCCCCCGTTGCCTCTGCTTCTTCTCTTCATGTCCCCACTGATCCTCTGTGTTCATGCTGCTTGTTCCCGCTGCTCCTCCCCATGTCTTCACTGCTCTTCCATGCCCCCTCTTACAGCTTGCTCCCATCCAGCGGCTAGGAGCAATAGCCAGCCTGCTATTGGTTATTTTACATTGCAGTAGCCAATAGCAGGCTGGTTATTGCACCCACCCACTGCCTGCTGTCAATCAGCAGGGGAGGACCTGAAGTAGAACTTTCTCCTTCAGTTCCTTACTCTGCTGATTGACTGCAGCCTGACAAATTCTGCTGCAGGATGTGCTTTGCAGTGCCATTCATTTCAGTGGTACAAGTCTCCAGCCTGCAGTGTGATCTCCTGCACTGAAATGTGCGGTGCGATTGCAAAAAAATTGCATTCAGCTTTATTTTGAATTAAACTTTACGTGTATTTTATTTTAAATAGAAGGTATTTTTTTTTTTAAATCTGAATTATAGAAAAAATAAAATCGACTAATCGGTTACGAAAATAATCGTTACAGCCCTAGAAAAAAAAAAAGATTGGGAACCACTGCCCTATTAGCTACTAAGGATGAGGTTCAGGCTCGACGCTACCTTGGTTTCCTGTGTGGTGAATATGGTGTGTTTGAGGTTTGTTGTTCTGGCATATTTATGCAGATTTGCTCATGAGATTTTTTTATTTTTTTAAAACAATAATGCACTGCATTGACTTTTAATGACGGCCTTAGAATGCTTAAAAGGGCCAATAAGGGGGCTTTTGGATACGTCAGCCCTCTTATAAATATGTTATCCCTCTTTTATAAAAAGGGGATAACATAGCAGTCATAGGGTTATTATTGTGAACCTGACATTCACCAAACATTCACAGCAGGTGAATACATTTTAAATGACTGTGATTGATACACCATCAGTAAATGTTTGGCAAAAGCGAGATTAAAAGAGAACTACGGCCCAACCTTTTTTTGCCATAGTTCTCTACAGGGTCACAGGATGACATTTATCATCATCTCCTGTGACCAAAAAACTCAGCATATAGCGGGCTATTGCCCGCTATATGCTGACAGTGCACAGCTGCCCTGCAGCAGGGAAAGATCCCGACAATATTGTCAATATCAAACCCGGCTGCCTGATTGACAGGTGGCTCTGCCCACCCCCTCCCTGTCTGTCCCTCCAGTCAGTGCTGAAGAAACGGAGGAGAGGGGGGGAATCCCTGCGGGGAGCGGTGACTGACACTCAGCACCCCCAGCAAGGAGAAGGCTTGGCAGCAAAAGGGTTAAACTGTTTTTTGTTTTTTTTTAAAGCTTCCTTAGGTAGTAATTTCAGGTTTTCATCTCTTGTTTTTTAATTGTATATAGGGTCTTTAAGTTTGGGGTGCTCAAAGTATTGCATTCACTTGTTGCTGACTATCTGTTCTTGGAGCTGCCTTTTGTTTGCAGCACAATGCTGCATCATATGAAAGAAGAAAAAAAAAAAAACCCCACAAAAACTAAAAAAGTGTTTTCCTGGCCATATCCATGGCAGCGCTGACAAATGGGTTTAGATCCAATTACCCCTAGCTGACAGGAACCAAAAGGGTTAAACAAGGCCTAACCCTCTCTATAAAAGCCCCTCCTCCTGCTGACTTCCCCAGTCTTTTTGTTCCTGTCCCCCTAGGACAGGGTTGTTTGTATGTTACTGAGAAGTTTTTCTTTAACAGTGTGCACTTAAACTACCTAATATATCATATCACATTCACCATGACCCTCCCATCCCCCTAGCAAAAATAAAAAAGGTAGGCATACATTGGTTAGATATTTTTATTTCTGAATAAAAAATACCCTGCTGCTGGTCAATTTTACACAGTTGTATCCTCAGCAGTATTTTAATTCTTGTAGTAAAACCCCAGTCTGTGTTCTTTGTCTCAAGTACATTTTGGGCCAATTCTCTTCCAATTAAAAATGTCCTGCTGCTGGCCAATTTTACGCTGCTGTTCATTTGGGGTTAATTTTTAATGAGGGTGGAAGCCACAAGACTCACACCAAGTGAAGCATGCCCATTATGTCTGTTAATAGACTTTATCGGTAGTAGCCATAGAGCGTCTGCCAGAAGTCAAGGTTGGCTAATCTAAAGCAATGAGGGTCAATGGAATGCTACTTAGGAACAACTGCACATAAAAATCCACAGCAGCTTACAATAGTCAGAGGAAGCTTAAAAAAACTAGATTCCACAAGTATAAACTGACTGGCCAGTAACTATATTAAAAATGACCAGAAAAGCTGTTGGCTCACAGGATACTCTTAAGGTGCCCATACACTGCACGATTCTCGTACGAGAATTGCGGGAAATCCCACGATAATAATAGCGGGAAATCCCACGATCATACGATAATCGTACAGTGTATGGAAGGCGTGC